TATATTTTTGTTTATTCTCAGATACATTAATTGTTGAGCCATATAAATTTGTATGTTTTTGTAGGTTAAAAAGTGAAAGTAGTAACTTTATGTGGTTCAGCTAAAGCAGACTGCTTCCATTCAGTGTGGGTTTCATGAGTTCAACATTTTTCTGAGCCTTGTTGGTAAGTATGTGTATATATGTGTGTAGGGGGGGGATTAACAGGCCTTTTAGCTCTTTCTGGAAACAGGCTTTTCTGGGTAGACACTGGTGTCTGGAATCTTGTTCTTCTTGCTGTGCTTTTATCCTCTAGCAAGACTTTTAATGTCAGAGATGAATTATGGAGGGACTTGAGGTTGAGGGAGAAGGTCAAATTATTACTATACTTGACAGAATGTGCTCTGAAGTCAAAAAGGGATGGTTTTAAGGAACTGTTTGTACAGTTTTCTGTTAATATGGAAAATTAAGGACTAGACATTATACAAATATCAAACTGTATATAGACTAAATGCCTCGCACCATTCCTACTTGCAAGGGCTTCTTGCTATCAACTTATGATCCAGTTGGTTCTGTGTGGGTAGGCTTACTTATTCTGAAATTGTCATCAGGCCTGGCATATCATAAGTGCTCATCTAATAAATGTCTTAGATAAATGAGTGAATAAATAAATGATGACTGGGGTTAAAGAACAAACAATTCATGGAAATAACAGGAAGGCAGCAAATACCATACCAAAGGAAAGGTCTCCGGGCCTTAAAAGGTCAGAAAACCCAGGTCCCTGTAGAAAAAGTCAACAGAGGTTCCCCATAGGAGGTGAACTGCAAACAGCTGCTCCCCAACTGGAAAAGACTGGTGGCACTCAGGCAGTAGCATAGTCTGCCTTACAGATGTTAGGGAGGAAGCCACAAATGAAATAAGCTGCAAATAAAAAGTTGCTCCCCATTTCCTGGCAAACTCTTTAGCCAGCCAGCCTGAGCTACATTCCTTTAAGCTGAGCATGTGTGGAATTTCCAGCTAGGTAGCAGAATGGAACTTGGAACAAACAGCTCAGCAAAAAGAACCCAAGGACAATGGGCCTAGGTCCAGCTACCTTGTGCCAGGTCTTGAGTTCACTTACTATTAGAACTCAGGGCCTTTTCTGGTGGCACAGGGGTTAAAGTCTCAGCATTATCAAACTATCACCTGCAATTGAGGCGTGAGGTCAGTCCCAGCCAAGGAACTGACCCACATGGTGCAGCTGACTAGCTGACCTCTCTTTTCTCACCCGCTGCTCCCCGCAGAAGTGTATTTCAGTGAGATCTGCCTGTTCTACTCCCCAATCTGTCTCTGGTGAATATTTGCACCCTCTGCACCTCAGTTTTTGTAACATACATAAATTAAAAAAATGTTTTTGTAACATACATTAAAAAAAAAAAGGTAGAACTCAGTGGGCCTTATAGAGGGAGGTAAAAGATGTCCTTTGGATTATAACACTTTAGAGGACTTAAAGATAAATTTCCATGTTCAGAACGCACTGGGAACCATAGAAGATATGCTGAATTACTTGGGAGTGACCTGAGTCCTCACTATTATTCAGTATTCCATCTAGCAAGGACAACTGAAGATGTGTTTTGCTTTAAAGATGGAAGAAGTGAGGGCCTCCTGGTGGCACCAGGAGTTAAGTCACAGCACTATGCAGGTATCCACAGCCACTGCAGCACGAGTTCCACCCCTGGCCAGGGGGCTGACCCACATGGCACAGAAGACCTCTCCTGTCTCTCCTGCTGCTCCCCTCAGCGGTGTATTTAGGTAGAGCTGCCTGTTCTGTTCCCTACTGTTTCCGGTGAATCCTGTCATCCCTATACTTCTGGCCTATAACCTAGATCTTGTATACATAAATAAATAAATCTTTTTAAAAAAAGAAGGTGCACACATTGGGAGGTAGAAGACACCAACTTCAAGAGAGCTGGAGGGAGCACTGGAGATGAAGGCAGGGTGAAAATGAAGTAGGGGATGACAGTAGGATTCAGGATCCTTTGTAACCAATTTGGAGGCAAGTGGCAAAGGGGCGGAACTGGAGAATGACACACCCACAAAGACAATGTATCTCTACTGGCCTGGCCTGAATTTCTTATAATAATCGAGTTCAATTACACTGAAAAGTGCAGTAAGAATTTTTGTTTTCTTTCTGTTAACGTTCAACTATTGTTACTACTCTGATTTTCCCAAGTCATTAATTCCTTCAAGACACTGATACACGGATGGGAACCTAAAAAATTCCAGTCCTATTCATACCTAGTTTCTCTTGTACATTATAATGAAGTGGAAGGCAGGAGTACAGATTACGCAATTTAGAATAAGGCTCATTGCCTTAAATATAGCTAAATAGATACTCCATAGGTAAGAAAAATTAAAATCGATCAGAGATGTTAAGCCGTAATGTTAGAGGGGGGGGGGGATACTGAACTTGAACTGCATCACAAAAAGATAACTGGTGTCACAGAGGAAATTACTTAGGGTCTCATCCTGGGTGGTTGGGGGCAGTTGATGTACTAACACATCTGACTCATTTCCTCAGTCATTGTGACAACTCTCTCCTCTGTCCTTAGGAGGAAGTGGAAAGTTTAATATCATACACAAGAATCAACTTCATTCTCATGACTACTGGGTACTAAAATGGTAGTCAGGGTTAGCAAGAGCATTTTATCCCCGTCCTTAACAGACACCTTTCCCCTCCTTTTAACAGTGAAAAAGGGCAAGTTAACTGCAGTCATCATCCAGATTCAAGCCAGAGCAGTGAGTGGAATGTGAATGTATTTAAAAATCATTTATCTGTTATCTAATGCATGTTTAGCATTAAGCTTGGACCACAGCTACTCTTTCCCCACAGCTCAAGGGTTAATATACCCATTTTACAGACAACGATCCCCATTTTATAAATGAAGAGCTTGGAGGTCAGACTTAGTTTGACCTTGCCATATCCAGCAGAAAGTGGAGTTCGGACATAAATCAACCCCTTCTATTATGCACTGGTATATTAAAGATGTTTTAGTAAATGAGACCTGAACTTTAAAGCCATTGCTCCTTTTCTTTCATAATAACCATCACTCTAAATTAAAATTGTCGCCAGACTAGAAAGGAAGTTTAGAGGCGAGCAGAGCAGGAGATACTTTAACATAGACAGCTTAATGCTCCTTTCTGTTTCCCTTAAGTTCACACGAATACAAGGCCACACTCAGCTCTGAGCGAGAAGAAACACGTGTACCCTACGCAAGCGTCCAGACGTGATCCACCGCCCCTTTGGCCCGACCTCTTTTAGCCAAGTCACCAAGCCTCTAAATGCCCGCCTTCTAGGCCCAACCCTTGGCCAATCAAGAGCCCCGGGCAATCAGGCACGTAACTATTTAGCATATACCCGCCTCTCCCTTCTACGTCACGGCCCCGCCCCCGTCCGCGGAAGGGATTGTCGCTTAAGCACTTCGTCCTGGCACCTGATTGGCTCCTTTGCCAGCTCCACCTCGGTCTCCTCCCGTTCCCCTCCCCTCCGCGCTCCCACAGAGGCGGGCACACTAAGTACGCAGGCGCAGGCGCTGCCTCTCTCTTCGCACGGCCCGCCCTCCCTCCTCCCCCTCCCTCCCCTCCCCACCCCCTCCTCCCTCCTCACTGGGCCTGCGCGCGCGCGTCTTCCTCCTGCACGCGCCGCCGCTAACCCAGCACTCTAGCCGGAGCTTCTGGCCCGCGCGTTCCTTTTCCCCTCCGGCTGCGGAGCGGGCGGGATCCTGCATCGCGGTCGCGGAAGCGGCGGCAGCCCCGACGGACTCGGCAGGCGGTAGAAGCGCGCGATTCCCCAGGCGGATCGCACCACTTCCCGCCGGCACGCGGGGGGAGCCGCC